AATGAGTATACTGATAATATGAAATCACCGCAGTGATAATGGAAACAGAAAAATGAGTACTCATGATCATAGACATATATAAACAACTAGATGGCTGACTTTGGCTTATCTTTGAAGTTAAATCGCCATATGCCTAAATGGCAATGTTTACATTTTTATGTGATAACAATATTTGATAACAACAAAAATGCGTTTACAACCCGGTAGAAAATAGTAATTTATAATGGTTTTTTCAGTTATCAATATCGTGTTATCACATAAAAATGTAAACATTGCCGTTTAGACAAATGGCGGACAAACTTCAAAATTCTGTACAGTGTTTGGGGATAGTCGGCTATCTAGTTGTTTATATATGTCTATGCTCACGATCAACGGCCACAGCAACAAACGACCAGAAAAAAGTAAAAAAGTAGATCTTGGAAGAAACAGGTCGAAAACACTCGCACCGCACTATCAATAGTTAAAATTTGGAATGAATAGAAACGCGGAACGGTGAGAAGTAGAAAAAACGCACAAAAAAAAAAAAAAAAATAGTTATTTAAAAGTCCCTAGTTTCTAGTAGGTATAAGGGAAAATATAAGTCTTCTTGATTTGGTTTATTATTTTGATGTAGTATAAATGTGTTTTAAAAATATACCCTCTAGTTGTGTTAAGAAGTTGTCTAAGAGAGGTATAAGGTATATATAAAGGTATCTATAGTAGTCTTCTGCTGTAATATTTTCATTTGTTGATCTTTTTTATATTCTGGTTAGCTTATAACAATCAATATCCAAATTAAAGTCTGATATGGACGCGTCGCTATTGCGCAAGTTCCCTGTGCTTMAGTGCTACCACGCGGTATGCGGTAATTTATGATGCCACTAAATCGCTTCTAATTTGACCACAGTCGTGATAATATGGACTAGTGTATTTACCATTTGGTTATGGTATCAGTTATTATGATATTATCATTTATTACAGCAGGAACTTCCAAAGTCGAAACTACACATCTGACGTCAATCGTTATTATGTTGATGAACTAGAGATCCAAAATCCACTCGTTAGGAGACTAAACAAAAAAAAGCCCATGGGAGGGATATATCCCCAATCATCCCCCCCCAGCGCACGCCACTAAATTTATGTTACATTAGGAACTGTAAACTCGTACATTCCACCTAGTGTTAGTTTTTATAGAAAATTCTTCTACCCATTCATCGATATCATGAATATTATTTAAATTTGACCGAACAATTAGTTATTGAGCCATTATTGACAATAGTATTTTTAAATGAAGAAGGCATAGCATCAGAATTTATAGATAGATTCATTTTTAAATGAATTAATGGATCACTTTATTATGAAGAAAATACACTATGTCATCAGTCGTTGTCATACTAATTTATTTGATATCATACATTTAATATTAACAACAGTAAGATTTCTACAAAATACCATACTTACTACTTAGTTACTATAAATAGATCTCATTTGTATTTTATAATTAATTACCTATTTATTGGTAATTTTTTTAAAAAAAAGGTTGGTATATAACGTACGTGTCCCCAACCCCCCCAACATAGAAATTCTCAAAAAWTTTTATCCAAATATTTTGTACGTCATTTGTATGAATTTGTTTGACAGTTGTTAGAATTTGTACGACATCAGTTTTCGAGCAATACTGGAAAAACAGAAGGGGGGCTGGTGACACATGTCTACAGCCCCCCCCCCTAATGTAAATAATCAAGTATTTATATATTTTATACTGCAAGATTCAAGAACTCAATTTGTATGAATTTGTATGACTATTTTTGGAATTTGTATGCGACCCCCTCCCGCGGAAAAATCGGAAAAACCCATTTTCCCATGTCCCCCCCCCCGATTCGGAATTTTTTACTTTTTCCTATGCCAAACTATTAATCGCCATTTGTATGAATTTGTATGACTATTTTTGGAATTTGTATGTAACCCCCTCCTCCGAAAAAATCGAAAAACCATAATCCGTAATTCCATTGTAACCAACTGAGTTATAAAATCTATGHACTTTGTTTTATATTGTACAAGCCCTCTGAAAATAACTGACTGTCACAAAAAGCCACCATTACTATCGATGTTATTGCATCAAATGCACATGTGTTGTTTAAAACAACATGTGAATCCAAACTTTTTATTCTACAACTTTTGAGTTCTTCTGCGCAAGATCTATTTTTCAACAAAGGTAAAAGCCGTGAATTCCGCGAATTGCTGATATTTACGTGTCGTAAATATGAATTTGGTAGAAGATATAAACTACTTTTAACCTGTTTTTTGCCTTTTCGGTTCCACTCATCCGTTGCCTTATCTTCAAAAAGCTTTTCATTGTCATCAAAGCAGTTATGACAAATACGAATTTCATCATCATTCAGCTTGTGTGCTGAGCATTCTGGAAGTGCGTGGAATGGCTTCATACACATTGCGTACTTATGAGCTCCGTTATTGGACGGTAATGATCCAGAATTACACAATGCGCATCTTAAATTCCGTAAATGRTTTGTATTACTCTGTTCCTCAATGTTGTGGTTATCTATCTCTAGCTCTCGTAAATTTTTTGTTTGACTTGAATCATCAATTGGTCTAATTGTTTGATTTACTACATTTGTCTCTGATTCTTGAGTAGAACGCAATAGCAATGCTCCTTTTAAAGAACGTATATGGTTTTCTAAAAATATTTCTATATCTGTGGGTAAAGAAATATGCTTTAGCGTAACATTTTTTAACTTATAAAAACTTGATTCCACTGCAGCAGAGCTAACAACACGTTCTCCATATCCAAAAAAAGGCACCATTATGCCTGACCATAATGGCAGAAATTTCATCATCTTAATTAGATGATTGACTATTTTTGGAGCATACAATGGATTTATACTTTCCTCTCCTTGTACATGACGTTTGCTTTCATTCAATACTGTTTCTACCAATGCTTGAAAAGGGTTCATATCATTAAAACTTTTAAGTAGGTTATCGTTATCTTGTTCTTCAAGGCATGTATTATCGATGTCTGGGTGATCTATAATTGTATCCAGTTGTTGGTCAAGTTCTATATTACCTGTTGACGCAGTATTAATCAACCTCGTATAATGTCGTTGACATGATGTTTCAATGTCAGTATTTCGTATAAGTCCGTTTGTTTCGTTAGTAATTGTAATTAAAAGTGATAGGAAMAATGAGTATACATCTTCAAGCTCTTGACATTTTATTAAGCAACCTATAGTWCTAAGAATGATTTCTCTTACCTTTCTGTTTAACAACTTTAAATCAGGCCACTGGCTTCCTAGTCTCATGAAATGAGCTACATCTAATTTAACATAACATTGARGTAGCCAAATAGAATCTTTGGGTATCTTGTTGGTAATTATGTCTGCGCAAGCGTGTATATAAGTAGTTTAATGATGAATATTGTGTAAATGTTCTTACTATTAAAGAAAGAAGAGCGAAAGATTAGTCACATACTACTTTTTTAGGCTTTGGAACATTGCAGCTCATCCAGTAAGCCAGCCAATTAGAAATACATATAGTATTGTGCCTTTCACTTAGCATATTTGTGACTGAAAAGCTATGACATTTTAATTCGTCGTAAACGATTGCTTCATATAAAAATATGGTATTTGTTTTGTCTAAGCCTAGTTTACTGAATTTTTTCACTACGGATCCTGTTGCGTCAATGATAATTTCAGGATAATTTCAGGATAATTAACATTACTACAATACTTCCTATACATATGAATTTGCTCTGCATTCAATTATTATTTTGTATAATGAACAAAAAATGGATCATATCCAACTTCTCTTATAATGTCTTTAAATTCAGCTTCTTTTTTCATTATAGCAATCGCATAGCTTTTGTTGGGAAACGAAAATTACTAAACGTTATTCTTTTTCCGACCATTAATTATAATTATATTTATAACTATTACATATTTTCATACTATGTAGTATGTACCTACTATCAATTATCATACATATTGTTGTTATCATAATGCGGAACTATTATAAAATTTTTGTTAGTTAGTAAGTAAATAAGGTATTAGATACTTATTATTTTATTATTCTAAATGAAATAAATAAACAAATATATTATCTTGTATAGATATAGTCCAAAGGGTATCCCGTCAAAATAGCGAAAATAAAAAAACGAAAAAAAAACCGCGAATTAAAAATAGAGAAAGCTGTTTGGACGAATCTAGATAAAAGCGAATGACAATAAYATCGATAATGATTTTTTCAGACACAAGTAAATTATCAGTTTAGTAGCACAATTAAAGATATCTTTATTCTTTAATCGTGGTTATCGTTAGTAGTAATCGAGTATTCGATTGATGGTTAGTGTAGTTCGTGTTACTTTTACGTGTATAATTCTTCGCTAAGAGCAAATAATATTGTATTAATATGGAATACGTACTCAGTAATAAAAATAAAAAATTCAAAATTGTTGATGGATATACATTTAGAGTTGAAAAAACTATTGAGAACACAATGTATTTAAGGTGTACAGAACACCATTGTAAAAGCCGAATGATAATTAAAAGCGAATCTATTACTAAAGGACCGTCAGATCATTCACACGTGGCTGATGCAAGTAAACTTCATGCAAGGATTGTAGTGGCAAATATGAAAAACGAAGCTATTCACACACAACAGTTACCACAACAAATAATAAGTGCTACACAAATACCAGCTGGAGTAGTAGGAGCATGCCATCAGTAAGTTCAATAAAAAATACACTTCGTCGAATTCGCAAAAGGAACGACTGCGTCCCTACGGATCCAAAATCGCTTTTTGATCTTGATATTCCTGAACAATTTAGAAAMACCAAAAATGGCGCACAATTTCTGTTGCACGATAGTGGCCCTTCAAATAATCGAATAATTATATTTTCTACACATGATAATTTAGACATAATGGACAATTATAGTGATTGGTTTGCTGATGGCACGTTTAAAACATCGCCTTTAATATTTTCGCAAGTTTATACAATACAAGTATTAATTAATGAAAATATCATTATAGCCACTATTTATGCTTTACTGCCGAACAAAACTGAAGAAACGTATATTCGTCTGTTAACAACTTTAAAAGAAATTAAACCTAATTTAAATCCTAAATCAATCATGAYAGACTTCGAACGTATGCTTTCAACGCATTCAAATATGTATTTCCAAATATAAAACAAAATGGTTGCCATTTTCATTTCGCACAATCTATATGGAGGCACAAAAATATGAATTCAACAAATTCAAGGTTTATCAACAAAGTATAAATTAGATCCTAATTTTGCTTTACATATAAGAATGATATCGGCTCTTGCCTTTGTGCCACCCAACAATGTTATACTCGCGTTTGAAGAATTGTTGGATTCCCCATTTTTTTGCGAAAATGAAGAATTTCTTAATCCACTAACTAACTATTTTGAAGACACGTGGATTGGACGTCGAGGAAGAAAAAATGTTCGGAAATCACCGTGTTTTGATATAATGTTATGGAACTGCTATGAAATTTCCAAACGCCAGGGGGCCAAAACCAATAATTCTATTGAGGGTTGGCATAGAGGTTTCACAGCTCATTGTTAGGTACCATATTTTATTTGTTGATAAATTTAATTAATTAATTAATTAATTAACTTAATATATTTTAATCTTTAGCATCACATCATCCATCCATCTGGAAATTTATTGAATGCCTTCAAAGACAACAGAATTTGGAGGAAATTAAATATGAGCAGTATCAATCTGGAATAAATAATATAAGGAAAAAAAGAAGTACAAAGATTCGGCTGAACGGATTCAAAAATTAGTAAATGGATACGACGAAAATGATAAATTAAATTTTTTTAAAGGAATTGCCTATAATTTGACGTATTAGCTTATTAATATTTTATTAGATACAACAAAAATAATAATTGTTGTCATAATTTTAATTTTTCTTATATTTTCCATTATTTTTTATTCGCTATTTTATTTTTTTAATTAAATGATATTCGCTGTTTTATATTCAATATTTTGTGTTCGATTTTTTATTTTCGCTATTTTGGAGGTGAATCGGTCCAAAGAGGAGGGGCAGTACGGACCCGTGGATGCGGGGACCCCCTCTGGTTGGGCCACTGATTCCAATATAGCTTCATTATTATTATTTGGTACAAGTATGACGACTTTTTTCACTAAAATTAGAAATCTTWCTAATTTATGGTATATATTATAAAAATACTTACTTCTGTTTTCATCACAGTCATTYACCACTACCCTCTCTTTAAATTGCATTACAGGCTCAATTGCAGGTTTTCTTCCAACCATTTTGAAAATGCGCTTCTTAAGAACGGATGTACAAATAGCTCAAACAGTGGAAATATTMAAAAATAGTATAGACTTCAACCGGCAGTTGTTATACGAATGACAGRTACAGCGCCGGCGGAAGGGCAGGGCAGAAGGGGCAGCTGCACAGGGCCCCGCCATTTTAGGGGCCCCGCGCCTAAAATGGCATGTAATAATTTGTAATACTATAAATTTGTTTTTAATATTAAAAATACAAGGCCCATCTGTAGTGGTGCCTCGTGTGTTTTTAATGAAGTGCATATCAAAAAAWAAAAATGTAACCAATATATTATATTACGAATAATTTTATGTATATTTAATTATAATTTCGATAGAAATCAGAAATGCGATTGTTGTTTTAAATTTACGATGATAATTGATGAATATTATCAGCTTATATAATAATACGYGTGAGAGTAAAAWYAAATTATAAGACTGACTAACAACGGCAACGGCGACGTCTAAAATAATTCGCTGAAAACAATGTAATTTATTATGTGTACATCAATTCCAATAATTCAATTATAACCCGAGTTGCGTGTTTTTCTTTCCGAAAATATACGTATAGTTTATCGTGTTATTATTCATTTATAGTTGAAGAATGATTGTGCACTCCTTATCTTGTATGTGATGGGTGTCCGCATGACCACGAAGACACAATCGGAGTGCACTTTCTGTTGTCATTTCATTTTTTTTTCATTTTAGAGTATTAGACAACTTATATTGGACTGTCTAGTTGTGCGATAACGAATCAATCCTCGACGTACTCTTGTTACGATTATATATGTATTTAACATTGTTTATCGGAAATCGCTCACAACTAGGTTTGTAAAATATATTATTTCTAAATAATTAAAATTATCGGTATCTGTGTTTCATTTCATGGCTGGAATTTGYCACGAMGCAACGTGTRTCTATAACTATAAACTAATAGCTATTAATGTGACTTAAGTAGTTAAGTTTGTACTGTTTACCAATCAGTCACCAGTCCAGCAACTGTAATTAWATTGGTAAGTTTTGAATATTTTTTTATTTTTATTATTAAATATTTTTCTTCT